GTATTTGAAAAGCAACAGTCACACATAATTTTGGTGCTGGTCGAGTTTTTCATGTTGGATATAAAAAATAAATTTCTCTAAGAGCTATTTTAATGCTCTTTCACTGTGGTAGATGCAAGGCAAACACCGTCTGCATTTTCAGACCACAGTTACAAGTATTTCATACAACGCTTTTGATTTTATGTAGAAGGTTGATCAGTCTGGCCTTGATTACTGCGTTTGAGGTGAGAATTCAAGTCACTCAGAGTCTGGCACAACAGAATAGAAGCACGAGTCCACTTATGCCTGCACTGATGAAAAACGTGCAGCTCTAATGTGTCATTAGGGGTTCTCTGCTGTGTACACCAAGCCCTTCTTTATTAGTCACATAAAATGTTGACAAGCCATTGCAACCTGGGAAGTGCCTAGGGGTCAAAATGCTTCTTGGAAAAGACAGCAAGAAAGCTGTCAGATTGACGCAGCTCACAGGAGTAAAGATGTTCACAGGTTTTCTTGCAAAGCAGGCAGAGTTATTGGCAAATGGGTGGAAGGTATCAGCTGCTCCTTGCTCTGATTGCTGCCTGCTCCTTGTCTCAGCAGAGGATTTATAGCCAGAGAGCTTATAGTAGCTTCCTGGTGTGTAAGGCAGCATTTCAGGAAAAAGTCCTAACTTTTAAGCAGGAAAATTGGGCAGAGAAGTCATAGAAAATAGCGCTCATCTGAAGTTCTCCTCGTCCTTTCACTCATCTCAGCTCATGAGAGGGTTTTTGAGCACTGCTCTGCTCCAGCTGCTGCTGCCCTAGAAATCAGTGCATTCAAAAGGCATGAGATGCCTTCTGAATGCTCCTTAATCTCAGTGGGCAAATGGTGGATTGTCCTTCGCTTCTCTCGCTGCCGATGCTGTTGGTTGTGGGTAAGCCAGGGGCACGCAGGCAGGTGGCCATCTGAAAAAAGCAGTGCCCACTTCTCCACAGGACTGAGATTTCGACGCGAAGCAAGGTTTGCACAAAACCGGTGTTTCAGTTGCACGGAATTGACAGGTGCCGAATGCTCCATCTGAGTGAGAAATGGGCTGCTGTAGGGTGCAGGTGTTGTCTGCTCTTGTTTCTTTTCTCTCTTACACTGCTGGCTCCAGTCTTGTATTGAATCTTCCCTGTCTGGAGGAGAGGCAAGCTTTCACTTCCATCCCACAGAGCGGGAGCGTTCTACAGCACTCGGATAGCCAGCATCCATCAGGAGAGCTGGCTGCTGTGTTCTTCTGCTCTGCTTCTGATGGCCTTCTCTGGGGCTCTAAGCCCTGCAGATACGCCCACCAATTCTGTTGTCTGTTTCTTTGTTTCCTGTCCCTGTGTAATTCTAAACTAAACCTTTGAACCAACATTTATTTTAATAAATGCACTTCTGAAGTGAGGGGCCCAGGGCCAAAATATGGATGCCTAAACGTGGGTGAGTTAACAAAAATCAGGGAGAAATCTCAATGAAACAAATGCGGTTTGTGAAGCACTTTGTAAGTACCCACCCACGCTGGAGTGCTTGTGCTCAGGAATATGAACCTGACTTCAAACAACCATGCTGGAGTTTGAGAATGCTCTGGAAAATACTGGCTCAGCCCTCTCCCTGTTCTCCCACCACCTCAGGCAATGCAGTGAGGGACTGCTGCTCCACCTTGACCTCTGCTCTTGTACCTTCATGTGGGAGGAGGGAGAACATTAATTCCACTTTGGCCACAGGTGCAGGGCATGTCAGAAGCACTGGGCTATCTACTCTCAAGCAGATGCTGAAGGAAAGGCATGGAGTCATAGCTTTGTTCAGCTGTGCTTACAGCAGCTGCCATGAACTGGTTGTGCTTCCAGTTGTCAGGAAAGGCCTTGGAGGCCCTGCAATCACAGAATCATAGTATTAAGGAATGGTTTGTATCGGAAGGGGCCTTTAAGATGACATAGTTCCACCCCCCTGTTACAGGCAGGGACACCTCCCAGTAGCTCAGGTTGCTCACATTGCATGGCATTTGCTTACAGGAACGGTGTGGTTGAAAAATTTCTTCCAGCCCCTGTAGCTCCTGGTGAGTGATGGCAAGATGAAATAAGTAGAACTAGCAAAGCTCAGCTCCCTGCAGACTTATGTCTTCCTTTCCTCCCTCGCAGGAACCTCACCTTCCCTCCCCAGACCCCGTGCTCTGTCTCATTGCTGCTCTCACACACTCCACATCTCTCAGGACACAGCTCCATGTGTCTCCACGTCTGGCCCAGTACAGCAGTGCATGCTTTGGCTCCCTCAGGGCAGCTGAGGCAGTGGGGCCCTGCTCCCAGCCCCTCTCCTCTTCCCAGCTGCCCATTTCCTTCAGACTTGTGGGCGCTCCACAGTTTTGAGGTCTCTGCCTTTCTGCCAAGCTCAACTGAAACTAACCCAAAGAGTTTGGGCATCTCTGCTTGTAGCTGCGTATTTTCACATTAAACTATCTCTGTAGTATAGCTGCAGGAGTAATCCCCATCTCTGTATATTCAACATCTCTGCAGTAAGACAATAAAACCAGAACTGTGCTTTCAGGCACTGCCTGCAAAGCTTACAAAACCCATTAAAATTAGTTTTCTACTTATGTCACAAGTGGTCACAGGTTCTTTTTTTCTCATGTTTCCTCTGTAGCTATTCAGTCATCTGACCACTTCAGCAGTAAAAAAAGAAAGAAAAAAATCCCAGCCATGCAAATGTGATTGTCTAAACGATAGCGGAAAATCTGTGTTAAAACCAATACCAAGTTCCTCTATGTGTCTACAATTTGTCCTTGCTGGCCTGTAGTCTCAGATACCCACTGTAGTGCTGAAAGAATGCAAAATTCAAGATGGGAGTGAAATGGTAAGTTGCTTTCAAGTTGGTTATTCCTGTTACAGTTGATTTTCAGTAACCCTAGGAGAAATGAAAACTTCCTTCTCTTTCCTCCTCAATGATTTTATGCAATATATATTTTTACCACAGAATGGTAATGAGAACAATGATCAAATTGTGCAAATCCACTCCTATCCCAAGAAAAATATCCTGTGATCCAAATGAACCTTCCTCTTTGCTTGGATCCCAAAGGAATAACACAAGGGGCTCCGGATACTTGGTTAAAAATCCACTTCCCACTTGCTGGCCGCCCATTCTCCTTCTCTCTGCATGCCCCCAGCAGGTTTGTTGGGTGCTGGTAACAGAACTCTGGCGAATCCACAGCTTTGCACCTGCCTTATTTAAGTCTTTGACTTGAAAAAGAGCTGAAAGTATCAGGAGTCACAGACTCACCGCAAAGTTGCAGAGTTTACCACCCACTTTACTCTCCTTGGAGATCTATGGCTCAAGACTAAGACGCAACTTGAGTTCCTCGGTTTGTTTCTTAGCGTGCCTTACCTGAAATAATTGCTGGCTGCAGCAAGGACCACTCTGTGACAGGAGAATTCCCTGCTATCCACACACAGGATGACATCCGTAAGGGAATTTTCAAGCCGAAGGTTCTCCAGGCCATTCTGGAGCACCAGAGAGAGCCCCGTGTCATCAAACTTGATCTTTTCACCACTGGAGACCTCCACCAGCTCCCCCATTTTTGTCGAGCACTCATTGTCCAAGGAGAACTCAGCGTCCTCAGAGCTCTTCTCCAGCGTGTCCCCCATGTTCTGGCCAGCACCGTCTCATTCTGTTGGTGCCTCGATCTAAAAGAGTTCCTAAGCCTCAGACGAGTCACACTGCAGAAGTTGGGCGGATTTCCTGTCCAGAGCTCCTCTCCGCTTATCTGTAGCTGTCACACACACATAACAGGAAGCCTTGCACTTTCTCATCCTGTTAACACAAACAAAGACTTTTTTTTTAACTTTTTTTTTTTTTTTTTTTTTTTCCTGGTGAATTTCAGGCAGCATCAACGTGTTTAGAAAGGAGTTAAGATGCCTCTGTGTGTGAGAAGATTACAAGTGAGAGGAAGGGCTGCTTCCCACCCCTGGCCAGCCCTGCTCTGTTACCCAGACCTGCTGGCCCCAGCGATAGGCACACTGCAGGCCGGCCGGGCTGCAGAGGGGAACAGGCCGTTCTTTTAACATTCTTTTTCCAGGTACATTATTATTAATCGCCGTGCTGGTACTTTGGGGTATTATTTTTTAATAATAATTTAGTAACACATATATTCACAAGTTTTCTAGATAACCTTCTGTCCGTCACGACATGCTAGATGACAAACATGGAAAAACTCTTCTTTCCATCTCAGGATGTTTTGCAATGCTATGACTTCTGCAGAGGCTGAATTGTGTCTCCGTGGGCTTTGCCTAGCAGAGAATCTGGCCCATAAGCATGAGCTGACACACAATCAGCACGGAGCCTGCTGAAATAACAGGGCAAAAGCCCTGGCAAGTCTGGGAGGCTCTCATGCTGGGGGTACAGAATGAGTCCCCCAGAGGGCTGAGCTCCTGGCAGTGAGAGCACCAACAGACCCTGCTTTTGTGACACTGATTTCTAGGAACCCTGGTTTGGTGAGTCCTCGGATTTTAACTGTGTTTGTTTCCTCTTCTGTCTCCCAGTTTGTTGACATGAACTAACGGGGTTAAGGGAAGCTTGATTTTAGAAAAGGGAGGTGAAAGCAGCCTTCAGAGAGAGCTGGACTCAGTCAGGTTTCGTATGGGATAAGAAGATCAAGAGGAAGGAAAGAGAGAAGTCTCCCTCCTACCTTCCCCTACCTCCGTGTAGTGGGCTTTTTTTTCTATTTTGTGCAATCTGTGTACAGCTTTCGCTTTTTTCCTTCCCAACTGATGTCAATGCATTCCTGCTGCCCTTTGTGCTAGCTTCTGGTGATGAACACCTTCTATTTTAAGCCAGTCCAATCTCTCCACTAAATATCGCTCCAGGAATACAATCAGACCTCTGAAAAATATCGGGTGTGGTTTTGAAATGGCAATATTTTAATCCTGTCTTGGGCTAGGTTCTCTTTGTTTATCATCATGACTTTTGACCTTAGGAAATTCACCTTATCGGGCCATTCTCTGGTGGTGAGAAGCTTTGTATTTTCTTTATCTGTTTAAGTGAAAGCTGAGATTCAGCAGTGATCACTCAGCTCCCATTGCTAAAAGCAAAGAATTAGAAGTTGCAGAAGTTGAAGACTGTTGGCTGTGAGTGCTGGGAACGGAAACTCCACAGTAAGTAGGTTGGCTGGTAGCTGTGGCCATGTCTGCATGCTGCTCAGTCACTGCTCGCTAGGAAGGACTGTGGTAGTTTAAGCAAGTGCTGGCTAGTACTAGCACTGATCGCTATCTGCAGCCTGTCTCCTTCTGTGCTGTCAACCAAGTGATGTATTTTTAACCCTTAGAATCCAGTTTCTTTTCCTGCCAAGCACCTCTTCTGCTGTCTTTTTCTCTTTGCTTATATAGGGCTGCGTAGTGTTTAGAGAATCCCTTGCTTGGGGATTAATCTACAAGTGCAGTAGCTAGTTTCATTATTTGGACACGCATCAGCGCAGCGCTGAGGTGGACGTTGTTTTTGCAAAGGGAACACAACGTCAGGGAGTTGCTTGCTGAGCTGCCCTGTCTAAAGACTGCAGTAGCAACACATTCTTCAGTTCTAGGGCAAATCCACTTTGTTACTTTTTGGTAGCAGCTTCCAAAAAACATTCTTCTTTTTGGCCTTCAGAAACTTGTTCTGGCTGCACTGCTACTGTTTTCATTAAATAATTACTTGCTAGCTAAATGAACTAATGATGTGGTGAGAGCTGAAGGCTTGTCTGTTCTTGAGGTGTTTGTTTATTGTCTTTAGTCTCCGCATATTGGATTGACCTGTGCTGCTTCTGTTCCAGCCCGAGGTAACAGGTTGGGTTACTGCTACTTAGTGCGCATTCACCACTTCTTTCACACAGTAAGCTTACAGAGCTAACATCACAGATCACTGTATGTCTCTCTGTTCTGTATGTTTGGCCAGAAGTGTGCAGAGGCTGCTTAGGACCCCCCTCGATCTTCTTAACTTTGCGCACTCTGTTGTCAATAGGTCGTGCCTCTTGCTTAAATGTTGACCTGCAGCCAGCACCAGACTGTGTTCAGCTGTCTGTTCCTGAAAGCAGCATCTCATCTCTGTGGCATTTTGGTACTGTGCAGCTGGATTACACCAGTGTATCTGCCCGAACTAGCCCAGGATCCTGGTTCCTGTCTTGGAAAGTGAAAGATGCAAGGAGTCCTTGGGAAGAGGCGTTTCATTAAGGATGGACATGGGGTCATGATTAAGAAGAGGGCCAGAAGAAGTCGCAGCAAGGACATCTCCCACCAAGGGATCAAGAACCAAGAGCTGAGGCACCTCTAAAACAAAGACATGGAGAAACAGATTCCTGACTGTTCTTGTTACTTGTTTCGCTTCTTTTCTGTTTGAACAGAGCCCTGATGAGACTCATGAGTCGAGAGGAACCAGGAAAGGAAAATGGGAGTGTGCAGCTGCCTCAAGGAGGAGGCCAGATGAGGACAGACAGGAGGTTTTCCAGGCTGAGAAAGAAGATATGGAGACAACTTGTTATTGCACTAGGATCTGGAAACTTCATGCATATTACAGAACAGCACTGTTGCAGGTATTTGTGACCCACGACCACGTAGCTGGTGCTGACAACTTGTTCTTATCCTTCTCCTGTGATACTGCTAAGATCACCACCGGAGCTGCCCTAACTCTCAGAGCCCAATCCCCCCAGCAACATACTGACAGCTACACCTTCAGATATACTTTCTGATGCTTGTAGGAGGGACCACTCATTTCTCTGAGATTGCCTGTTTCCAGGTACCAGCATCCAAAAGGAAAAGGATACGGCAGCAGAAGAGGAAGTTTGAGAGTTCTACCTGAAGTCTCAACACTGCAATCACTTCCACTGTGCTACCTGATGCTGCAGAAAAAAGAAGACCCTGCTGGGAGCACACAGCCACTGGCAATACTGACTGCTTAATGCAGACGGTCCCTGTGCGTGGAAGCAGATCTGAGGACTGCACACATATCAGGGCTCATCAAATCAGGACCCATTTTCTTGTGCAGTGCAAAGTAAGATCACTGAGGCCTGAGATAACCTTGCCAACCCTGGGAAGTTTCTAGATTCCTTGTCTGTGTTTTCAGTACCTCAGTACTAATGTTCACTAGCTTAAAATAGCATGTCCTTATTTAAGCTGCAGGGAAACTTGATTTTTGTTTTTGAAAATACATTCAGAAATTGATATCCCAGTATTCTACAAACTGCAAGCTGGCATCTTTGTATCATCACAGTCTTCTCTTCTGCACCAGTGTCACCTTCCATTTCAAAACCCACTCCTTGAGCTTTCTCACATCCCTACTTTTGGGCAGGTGCGGTTTGTTCAGAGTTAGCAAATCAGCCTTAATTTTGGGTCATTGGCCTGCCCAACAGGAGGTAAAAAGCATCTCCTATTTCAAGTTTATCGCAATGTTATTCTGCTAGCACTGCATTTATTATATTTCCAACTTCTGCTCTCAGGCTGGTTTTGCTGGGATGTTCCTGCAATAACAGCTGTCCCCATTTATTGTTTTCTTAGGTACCATATGGTAGATATGCCTTGTGCTAAGGCTGAGTGACTCCAAACTGAGCTTTTACCTTGTGTGGAAGAGACGTGCCAGCAGATCAAAGAGTAAATACCAGTTTATATGGGTGTAGTAGCCGAAGTCTGGCTGTTGTCCTAATCGTATTGTTCCCCTGTGCTGCTGGCTGTAGAGGTCAGGATGGTTAACCCTCACGTGTCAATGGCCAATTAAACTTGAGAAGTCTTCTATCCCCTTCTCACAGGCTTTTGAGGGAGTGGTGGAAGGAGGCTACTGTTTAAATAAAGTGCTTATTCTACTTGAAGAAGTTGAATTGCAGTCTGGGGGTGCACTACGGCCACTCCCAAAGCTGCAGGCACAACAAGCTGAGGCATCACGTAACACTGTATTTTAAGACCTCATAGCCCAAGATGAGATGCACCCAAATGAAACTGGAAGGACTGGAGACTAGGGATGGAGCGAAAGGTAAGACTCATAAGAAATGCAGTAGGTCTGAGGTTGCTAGCGAGTGCCACAACCATCCTTCCCCATTCACAGTAGTCTTTTCCTTCTCTCTGGAAGAAGGACCTTCTTTCCTCAACAAGTAGCTTAGGCTACTGCAGGTTTGCAAGTTTTTAATGAGAACAGGCAAGAGCTTCCTCTTTTCACTCTCAGGATACCCAGTCTCTGAAACAGAATTGCAGCTGTTATTTCCAGTCCCTGTAGTTTCTCTTGAAAAAGAAGTGTCCCGTTTGGTTACAACTTAGTCCTGTATTTATCTCAAAAATGTTCTGCCGGTGTTACTCACAAAGAGGTTTTGTCATCAGCATCAGACTCCCTCGTGCTTTATTTTATGTAAGTAGCAAGATGCTTGGGACACTTGCCTAGTGCTGCCTTCTATGCTGCCCATTGGAATTTAAGAGCATCTTCTCTGTGTTATTAGTTAATGGTCATTTGCGCACAAATAATTCTCCCTTTAAGTAAATTACACCTTTGATCCCTGCAAGAGGACCAAAGAAACTGTGGTCACACTAGAAGAAGTAGAAGCCTGCTGTCTTTAGTGCTATTTTGATCTCATATTTCTTGATGCCTTCCATCTGCTGCTGCAGACAGGCCCTGATGTCCAGAGTGCCGAGGTAAGAACCGGCCCCCAAACAAAGCAACTGTGCTGTAGATCAGCATCCTGTGTTACAGCTTGATAAGAACGCATCCACCTAAGGAACATTTGAAATGAAGGAGAGCAGTCCCGCATAGGAAGGGCTGGGAAATGAAGGAAACTGCCATTTACAGTGAATTATATGGAGCTCTGTGTTACACTGTGTGCTTGATGCTATAATGGGCAGGAAGGACATCGGTGGGACCGAAACCTCAGTTCTTGGATCCATTCAGACAATATGTTAAGCGGCCCTGTGAAATGGTGACAGCACGGTCAGAAAGCAAGGAAAACAAGTCCACTTTCAGGTTTTATTGAAGTGTAAAGCAGTGCTGACTTTTATTTTTCATGAAGGCTTGTCAATCTCAGCCACTTCTGTGCACACATACCTAACTGATGAGCTCACACTGTGAGTGAAGCTCCACAACCGTGACTGAATTTTGCTTTGGGTTTTGGACTGCCCAAAGCTTGGAAACCCTCGCCCCACAGTCACCATGGTCCTTACCTTCCTTGTGATGGATTTTTGCTGGTTTGTAACATGGATTTCCTCCTCAGGTTGTAAAAACTTTGGCGTGCTATTTAGGAGGGCCTTAAGAAGAAAAGCCAGTGCAGTGATCTGCGTGCTCTGCAGGCTCAGAACTGCAGCCTGCCCTTCTGCACGTCCAGCCCAGCCTCGGGCTTCTTCTGCACCCCTGGCAGGGCCAGGAGCATCAGACTGGAATCCCCCATGGACACAAAGCAAAAAACAATGTGCAGGTGAAGCCAAATCTAAACATGATGAAGCCAAATGAGATTTCTTACCACAGACAACGACAGGGAAAGGGAGCTGCTAGCTGACGAGGGCCAAAAATAAGGATGCAGTTACCAATTATTACTACTGTTGGAACACGAGTGTTTTTCACTGGAGAAACAAAATTTGTGTAATTAATCATTGGGTCTCCTTCTCTGACATAATCACTCTGCTGCCTGTTAGCCACCTGCTGAAGGAAGCAGAAATTTGCATACTTTCAGTAAGTAAATATGTAATCTTTTGTCAAAGTCCAACGTAGTGCAGCCCACACGTGCTGTCCTGTACAAGGGCAGAATATACATCTGTCTCATTTCCAGTTATGATGTGCCCCCAGAGCAGTTCTGTTTGGCTTACAGCTGTGGTTTAAACGTTCAGCCTGATGGTGAGGAGAATGGTGAATGCCTGATGAACTCTCATATTCATATAAAAATATCAATTATAATGTTCTGCATCACTGTTACAGCAGCTGAAGCTTCATGCTCATTTTGGGTTTGTTTTTTGTTGGTTTTTTTTTCATCAGGATGTCCTCATTGTCTCTTCTGCAAGAAATCTCAGCTTATGTGATATTGTTCTTTAGGTTGCTGGGCAGCTTTCAGCACCAGTTACACATGGAGGTCTCTAAGCCTTGGCTGTGCACGGTGTAAGAAGAGCTCAGGAGCATGGCTGTGCCTTGCTTCACTGCTTCCTGCTGCCTGCACAGGGATTGAGGTGTTGGGTTGCTAGCAAAGTAGTCGAGGGATGGAAAAATTACCACTCTGAGCACGAGTTATGTTATGGAAATGCACATCTTCCTAATTATCGCCAGTAGTAAGAACTGTTACTGCATTTTAATTAATTGAATTATGAATGACCTAAATTTAGAAGCAGTAAAGGTTAATTGTTCATGTCCTTATGCAAATAAAGACACTGCACGAAGTGCAGTGATGTGAAAAATAAAAAGTGGAAGTGCTGAAGGAGCTGCAGTGTTTCCTGAGGACGGCTGGAAATTATTCAGCTGCCTGCAGAATGGATCTGAAGGCATACACTAGGAGCACGTTGGTGGCTAGGTTTTGAAGCTGGTGAGAGCAGTCTTGGCATAACAGAGCTGTGTTTTCTGCCTATGAGATTCCTAGCAGCAGAATGATCCCAGCACCTGCCCTGCAGCTGGGCATCCTGCTGCTGCACGGTGTGCTTGGAGCAGCACGGCCGGAGCCCCATGGCTGGGCCCCTCTGAGCCAACCCACAGGACGGCTCGTGCAGGCTGAGGAACACGGTGGCAGCCCGAGGCCTGCAGCCCTGCCGTGCCCCGAGCCTGGCACGCTGTGCTGCTGGCCTGCCAGGAGCCGTGGGGCTGCTGCAAAAGCTCCTCGAGAGCTGTCAAGTCGGGGCTGTGCGATGCATCAGGGCAGCTGTCTGGAATGTAGGGCATTGGGACAGCAGCGCGAGGCTGGGCGAGCAACAACGCTTCAGGTTTGGAAATAGTGACAGGTCCTCGGGCAGGCTGGTGCCGGGCCAGGAGGAGGAGCCGGGCAGAGCTTCGAGCGGCAGGAGCGAGTGGCAGCGGGCGAGGGGCTGCGGGCAGGGCGAGGGGCGGCCGGCTGCCTGGGGCTGCGGCGAACAGGTAACGGAGCGTCTGTCTGCTAATTGTACCGCTTTAGCCTTAGGAATGCTACTGCAGGTTGTTTGTTTGTTTGTCTCTGCCAATCAGTAATTACTTAAAAAAAATGTGATTTTCCCACCAAAAAGAAAACGGACAATTCTCATTATGCTTTTTTCCATTTCTGTGATTCTGGTCCCAGGGAAAGATGTAGCCAGAGGAACTCATATTCTTGTCAATGGGCTTCAGTGGTAGAGGAAAGATGGATGTTAGGTTTGTTATAGGAAAAAATACATAAATAGCATGAACATAAGCCTCTAAAGAAATGAGATGTATTTGCCTTTTTATTGCTTCCTGTCTACCGTAACAACTTGTTCCTCATTTAATTTCTCCTCCCCTTTTTAAAACACAAAATAACATCTCCTACATACAAGTGTTAAATCCAGAAGGCTCAGAAGGCATTCATACCACATGTGGTAGTTTACACCTTCCACTCTTCCCTCAAGATTCAGCAGCATGTTGGCCCTGCAACGTGACAGTGTTTATTATTGGCAGCTCCCACCTGACCGATCTGAGTTTTATGGTCATTTCTGTCTAATGATCCTGCTCACAAATAGGTGGGTAGGGAAGGCTTGGGATCAAAGCATAAGCCACAGATTTCACAACATTTTCTTGGCAAAACAAGGTGTTGATTTAGCTGCTGGCTGGAATCTGCAGACCTTCATTAAGGTGTTCTCCTTATGATGACTCTGATAGCATCTTCCCTCCTGTCTCCATGGGAAGCCCTCAGCCCAGCAGCATGGCCTCGGCTGGCACAGCGCTGTGAGCAGGTGGGAGCCATGGTGGAGCGGCACACGGCCGTCTCCTTTAGGGGTATCTCAGGCCCAGCAGCAGCCCTATTTTCAGCCTCAGAACAGGTGCCCAGAGCCTTGTTTACAAAGGACGGGCGAGCAGGCGTTGATCCGGGGGGGATTTCACGTGCTGTTCTGAAGCAGCTGCATCCATACGACAGTTGTTTCCACATCCCCCTGTCCATCCCAGCAGGGCAGCCGCTGCCTTCAGACCGGGCACGTGGGCCTCAAGAATCATGTTTGCTTGAGGCCTGCCTTACCTTCTGCTTCACTGACAAAGCTCTTTGCAGTCACTTGGGCTGAAGAAGGGATTTATTTAACTTGTGAAGTGCCTGAAGGACTCAGAGATGAAATGGTGCCCTGCCTATTAACTGGTCCTGGTACTGGCAAATGGTTTAAAATAGAGTGGCTAAGTGTGGCTGGAGGGCAAAGCTGGAGCTCTGCTGTCTGGTGTCTGCAGCAGCACGGCTCGAGGGAAGGCGTGTGGTGCAGAAATGAGTGCACAAGAACAGCTGGCCGTGGAGGGGGTGCGAGGGCTGCGGTCGGGCCGTGGTGGTCCAGCAGGCACTGCAGCACTGCCATGTGAGCTCGGGCTCTGTGCTGCAGGTACGGCCTCGTGCCTGTGCTTGGTTGGTGGTTATAGGTGCTATCTGCTGCCTGTTCTGCAACAACAGCCCCTCAGGTCTTGCCCTGTGCGGCTAAAAGGAGCTCAGACAACGCCGTTTCTTTGCTTCTCCCTAAAGGGAAGCTCCAGACAAACTCCAGCAAGTCCCTGTCTTGCCGGGTTAGGCATTGTTTTCATGCTCTCTTGGTGCTGTAATGGCTGTAAAAAGGAAATAGTTCAGTGTTTATAGCAGCAGTGATGCAATGCTTGTTCTTTTCAGCTTTGGGATTCCACTCCCATAGCCTTCTCCCAGGCCTGGGAGATGGGAGATACTGGGTGGAAAAAGCAGACACCTGCTTTCTGCATGGGAAGACTGTTCCCATGGGCCTTGTTTTGAGGCTCTTAGAAGGAGTGAGTGGCTGCTGGGAGGAGAGGTAAAGCAGGGCTGGCGTGGGCCAGGAGCCTCCAGCTTTCCTGTCTGCCTTCACTCCTCATTTCCATAGAACCCCAGCCTGCACGTGGGCTCTCTGATGCCCGTTGCTGCCCGCTGTCCCTGGGCAGACAATTCTCCAGCCCTGCCTGCTCCCAGGTCACAGCCTTCCTCAGGCTGCCCTTGTCAACAGCTGTCCCTCACAGCCAATAATGACCAAAAGAAAACATGGATTTTCTTTGGTCTCTGTGTTCCGTGTGCATTAATCACCTGAGAGCTGTCTGGGCTTTGCTTAATTTTCTGAATACCTGGTAGGGAGCAAAGGCACTCTCACAGCAGCGGAAAATTCTCAGGGCCATGCCGGCACATGGCTTCTTAAAATAGTGAACGCCTTCAGCGGGAGGAATGCGCTGACCCGTTTAGGTGGCATTGCTGAGCTGTGTGTGAGAGCGCCTGGCGATGCTGGGACTCAGACTCAGCACCACCAGAAAAACACAGGGATGCTGCTGGGCGTGCGCTTCTAATTTTAGCTGAGAGCCTTCCTAAGGCTGGCTGGAGACAGCAACATCCCTGACCTCTTCTGAAAATACTGAAATGCCGAACAATCGATTTACACTGCTAAGAAAGTATTAACAGAGCTTTACAGAAATGAGCCATCTTTAATAATTGGCTTCAACCTCCCCGCAGCACGCTGCTGTGCCTGGAGCAGCGGAGGTCCAGCCCTGTGGGTGACCCACACAGCACAGCCTCCTGCCCTCCATCTCTGCTGGTGCCGGCCCTTGGGGCTGGAAGCGCTCGGCTGCATTATGAGCGAGTTATGAAGCCGCCGATTGCCCAACCGAGTTTTTAATTATTATTTTCATTTTAAGTGCTCCATTTGCCCTTTTCACACTCGGTACCCTTGCCACGTGCAGTTTAGTTGTAACTCCTTGGGCCATCCCAAGGCACCTGTTCCTCCCTGCCCACCATTGTGCCTTAATCTCTCCTGTTTCTGAGCTGAGCCGGGCAGGGCCGGCCCAGTCCCAGCGGTCAGAAGGGCACGCCAGGCAGGAGGGTCTATTTTAAGCAAAACATTTGCTTCAGGCCATGTGTTTTTTGGAGCTACATTGTTCCTTAGGCCATATGCTTTTAAGATCTGATCTCGCCTTTGTAACAGGAACTTTAGCTTGTTACTATTTCTACTTTGGTTAGGGTAGTGCACCTGGACGGGGACGTGGGGGGGGTGGCAGCCTCCGCCCGATTCTGTTTTGCTGCTCATGCGGCCACTGGGTCCCGGCGGCAGGCAGCACTGCTAGATGGGAGCAGTGGAGAGCCTTGGAGGAAGCAGCGACCGGCCGCATCGCTCCTGGCGTCGCACAGGGCCTCACTCGGTGTCCGATAACGAGCTTAACTTAGCCCCGCACGTCCTTACCCTCGCCTCACCGCCGGGCGCCGCGGCTTCGCGAGAGTTCTTTCGCCGAAGGGCGGAGCAGAAATAGCGCACATCCCGCAAACGGCCGGGCCGCGGGGCGAGGAGCCGGGCGGCTCAGCGGCGCTGCGGAGCACAGCGCGCCTCCGTGCGGGGAGCGGCCGCTCCGAGGGCCGCGCAACGAGCGCCGCGCCGGACTACAGCTCCCAGCGCCGCCGTCACGTGCCGCGGGTCACGTGCCCGCCCGGCCCCTTTGTTTTGAGCGGCGCTGGCAGCGGCCGGCAGCACTCGAGAGCTCCGCGCCGAGCCGGGCAACGGACGGTGGCGCCGCGGCGCGCAGAGATCCCGGCCCGGCCCCTGCTCGGCTGCGGGTGGCACCGAAACCCGGAGGGTGAGAACAGTGCAGAGCGGCGGGAGGGCGAAAGGCGGGCGGGACCGCGGGGCAGCAGGGAAGCGCGCGGTGGAGCTCCGCCGCCGGGTCCCGCCGGGAGCTTCGTGCCTCCGCGACGCCTGCGGGCGGCGGGACCGGCCGGCCTCTCGCAGCGGTCCGGGGTCGACCGCCGTTTCGTAACCCCGCGTCTCCCCGCTCCCCTCCGCTCACCCGGGCGGCGGCGCGTTGGAGCCCGGCGGCGCGGATTGGGCTGCGGGCGGGGGGGCGGAGCCGTGCGGCGCGGGGTGAAGGTGAGCTGGAGGGCGCGCGTGCGCGCGGCGGCCTCGGGACGGGGTGGCGGCGGCGCGCTTGCGCGCAGGGTCGCGCGAAGGTCTGGGGGGCGGCTAAGGGGCGGCTGAGGGGCGCACGGCTCGGCCCCGCGGCGCTCCGGGCTCCGCAGTTACGGCCCCGCGCGGGGACAAAGGGCGGCGGCTCGGCCGTGTAAACAGGAAGGTGGCGGCGTGCGCCGAGAGCGGCCCGCGCTTCCGGGCCCGTTCGTGCCCGCGCTCCCCGCGCGCTCCCCGGCTGCGGGCGCCGCGTGCCCGCACTGGCGCCGCTACGCGCGGTCCGTGCGCGGCCGGCCGCGCTGACCGGGCTGACCTCCCCCGCGCAGGGCGCGCCCGAACGCCGCGCACGTGCTGAAGGGTTTTGTTTGTTTTTATTCCTGCCTCTCGGTTTGGGGTATTTCGGGCCTCAATTAATCGTGAGTCTCACGTCCAAATCAGTTCCTGTTTTTGCCGGGCGATTTTTGAGGGCTCTCCGGCTCGCTGTGTGTCACAGCCTTGTTTATTGCCGAATCTTGGTGTTGCTGACGTTTGTAACAAAACACTTCTGCAGTGCCGCTAACCGTACTTCATCAGTCAGCTTTGGATTCTTATTGCTGAGGTATTGCTGTTTATC